GGGGAGCCATTTTCACTGTCGGAGGACCGGGGTGATGGACCAAGAAAATCTCCCCACTGTACAACAACTGGTCCTCAATTTGATTGTGAAATCAGAAAAAAATGTCGTCCCTCTGAAGCGAAGACAGGAGCAACCACCTCATAAATAGACTAATAAGGAAATGAAGAGGTCAACCAACCCGTCCATCTCTGGTCTCCACCGTTGCCTTGTCTCCATCCAGCTCTCTGACCTCCACCTCAATGTACGCTTCAGCTTCATCTGGCATCCAAACACGCTTCGTCCCTGGAACAGATCAGCGTATGCAGGTGTTAGGTAGAATAATGTCAACCTTTCAGGATTCTGTCCTTTAAGTAAATAAACACTAGAGAACCATGAGAAGAATCAACAGGACAGAACCAGCTGACATGTTAAATCATCTGGGAACAAATTGTTGCTTCTCCTCATTCAATGAGAGAAAAGCCACAGTCACAGGAACCACTGGAATCTGACAACAGTAGAGAAGATGCTGTTTTTCATCCAGGCTTTAACAGAATGATCTAAAACATGAATGAAACAATAACACGATGGTTCCTTCATATTTAGTTCCCAGCCTTCAGAGTCCACCATCATTGGTTCCTGTTCCTGTCAGTCACACCTCTGCTCTGTTTCTAGCTCTGTTTTCCTGCTAAAGACCTGCAACTGGAATCAAGCTGGAGATTTCATTGGACCCTGCAGAGATTCAGATGAAGCAAAGCAGCCCAGAGCATATCAGAGCCTCCTCCATGTTTTACACTAGGGCCAGTACTCTTTTTTTTTTTTCAGCTGATATTTCTTAGCATAAAGCTCCACATTTGTCTCCTCTGTCCATTGGACATTCTCTAGTTTAAAAGATTTGTTTCCATCAATGGTGCCTCATTGGTCGTCCCCCATTTAATCCACTTTGGCTCAAACAGCGACAGACGGTGCGATCTGACTGATTTTCCAGAAGCATTTCACCTTTTATCTCTTTAGAAGTTCTTTTGGGCTCTCTTGTTTCCAAACGTCTTTCCGTCTCCAATTTGTCACCAATGTTCTTCCTGCAGCCAAAAGCAGGGAAGTTGGCTACAGTCCCTTGGATATTACATCTGAATAATATGTGCTGCTGTGGACACAGGAATATCGAACTGCTTGGAGATGGTCTAAAGTCTACTTGGTTCATAGCTGCCACTCCAGAGGATTTCACATTACCTACATGAGATCTTCAAGAGGCGTGTCAGCCATGACAGCCTGACAACATCCAGAGATCTAAGGTACTCAGGTTGAATTTCCTCCACCTCCCAGCCCCTGCCACCATGGAGTTTTATTGACCACGCTGATGACTTTGGCCTGAGTGATGAATGAATCTGGCCTGGTTACCCAGTCACTTCTTCCACCACACCAGGTGCTTCAGCCAGATTAGGGAGAACCTAAGAGAATTTTTTCCACTGCCCGATGATGTCCTCATTCAGGGTCCGCAGCTCTCCAATCCCTCCAAAGTAGTGTTAGCAAAGCAATGCCTCCCCTCTGCCAAGAGATAGTTTTTCCTCTCCACTGTCGCTACAAGCATGCTTAGTGTGAAGGATTGCTGAAGAGTCAATGAGTCGATGCAGTCAGTTGGTTTTCCTTAGATAGAAAACTTTGAATCAATCTGACTAAATGATCTGGTTCTATGATCTGAGATGAGATGTTGGGATGTTGGTGTTATAGAAATAAACCGAATAGAATTGATTGTAATGTTCTGCCTGATGCAGGTAGGTTGGTTTACCATCAAAGGCCTGGGCCCTGGCAGCCAGCTGCTCCAGGTTGGAAAGGCGGAGAAAACGAGCAGCTTCCCCAAACTCCTTCATGTCCAGAAAACGAGACATCTGAGAACAAGGAGACAGAGACAGTCCAGTCTTTACTCATCGGCCGTCTGATAGAAATTATGCTTCTTGTTGAAGACTGAAAATCAATCAGGACACAGAATTTGGTCCAGATTAACCAGACAGAACGTTAAGGTAAAATCAAGTTTTCTGTTCAGAAATGTTCAAAACAAGGAGCTGGGAAACAATGAATGAAACAATAAAATAAAAAAATGCAATAATCTAAAAGGGACAACCTGTAATAAACCTGTAAACTAATGAAAAATACCAAAACATTTACATTTTCATTCTAAGGTTATCTTATTTTAATTAGGAGTTCTAAAGTAGATGAAAACAGTCCGATAACGACGTTTATCACAACAAACCTCCAGCAGGGCGTTCATGGATTTTACAGAGCCAGATCTCCACAATCCACTTTTATTTTATTCCCTTTTTCTGCAGGAGAATCAGGTTCATAGTTTATAAACTGCGTCTGACTCCTGCTCCATGCTCTTCACCCTCCTCATCCTCAGCTCTTCCTGCTCTCCTAGTAAACATCAAACTTCAGGATTTTATTTCTTCCTTCTCAGCAGAGTTGGTTTAAAACTTGATTTACTTTCAACCAAGAAAACTCCTGCATTTTATAAAACTCAGTATTTCTTGATCTTCCCGTTTATCTGTGGATCTAGGAAAAGGTTCAAAGACATTCTGGAATATTTCTTTTTCCATACGTCCAATCAGGAGGTTAGTTTCTGTTATTGTCATTAAAATGATTAATGATGTTTTTTCGATAAAGTTTAGGATTATCATCACATTTTAAGGCAGTTTTTTTCCTCCTCTGCAGGTGCTGCATCAGTCTCATTATTAGTCAGCCCTGGATATTTATTAGATTATTTATTATTTATCCTGAATGATCAAAATGAAGAAGCTAGAGGCTCATTTGTTAGTATTTAGTTATATTGGTCTATATTTATTAAACTGCAGGATGTCAGTGATCAAACGGAGTCAGTAACTGTTTTATACAGTAGTAAGAATTTCACTCAGTTTTCATCCCTGATCTTTACTTCATCCAAGAGGAGCAGCAGTTTATGGTTTTTTTCATTGATCAGATATTTCTGGCTTAAATCAAATAATGTCTCTGGTTGTTTATTTACAGCAGATTGAACATTTTGCAGCTTTTGTCTTCAAACGAGGAGCCAGATGCTCAGAAAGCAGCTTTCAGGTTAAATCCCCCTGGTGGATGTGGGCTCAGCCCCCCGTGTTCCCGGGTCCAGGAAACGGCCCTGGGAACACATCGCCTACTTCCCATAATCCCGCTGATTGGATCCAGACTGACCTTGTCTTGTTGCATCGCTGCGTCTCCAGTAGATGGCGCTGCATAAACAGGCCCTCATATCAGACATTATATGACAGGAAAATATTTCCTTGTCCTGAATTAGAAGGTTTTATTGTTTGGTGTCATAAATAAAAAGCTTCTTGTCGGTATCAGAGAAGTCTGGGTTGTTAAAAGTTCTGGTTCTGCTCCCAGAGATGAAGGTCCAAGCTGGGTGGTCCTGATGAGAAGAAGCATCTCTCATGCTCTCAGCTCCATGGATGATGGAGCTCCTCTTCATTCCAGCCTGTTTTCAGACCCGGTTCTGTTCAATAGAACCTGAAGCTCAAAGCTTCATGAAACCAGCAGTCGGCTGCAGAAACGATGCTAAAATTATTCAAACACCTAAAAATAAAAGCAGACGATAAGAACTGATGAAGGAGACTCTGAGCCTGATGGTTCTGCTCTGTTCTGAAGGCGTCTTTCATCCACGGGTCCATCTCCTCCTGAGGAACCAGGAAAGGCTGGGTCTGGTACCAGATCTTTGGTCGGACCTGGAAGGTGTGGGGGTCTGAGCAGGAGGCCTGTTTGGTCAGATGTTCTGGATCAGAACCTGTTTCTGGACACCTTTACTGATGAGTTTGGACCGAAACCTTCGGCTCTCATCAGCACCACAGATCAGAATCCTTTCCTGCCTCTGATCAGGAGCTGCTGCCCCTCAAACATCTCAGACCATCAGGTTCTTCTAAAACCTGAACGTCCTCAGAACACCCCCCACCTGTGAGGAGCTGATGGGTGATGATGCGTCAGTGTGTCGGACTCACCTTGCTGTCTGAGGCTCTCCTGCAGCGTTCTTTCTGAGGGATGATGGAGGTTCGGCTTCGTCTGACTTTAAAACCTCCTCAGCATGTGACCCCCCCTCCCCCAGCTGCAGCTCACTGGGTGAACTGGTCTCACTGGGCGGCCATATAGGGCAGTTGTGGTCAGATCCCAGCAGATGCCTCACTGAGCCACATGACCCCTCCTCCTGGGAAAATTTGGATTTCTTTGGTTGTTTCTGCTTTAAAATGTCAGAAAAGTTTGAATCCGATGAAAAGATGAAAATATTTAAGGAGAAGGTGAGAAGATTCTGGAAGAAGCTTTAGAAACTATCAGTTAAAAGCTTTAATTAATTATTGTCTCATGAGATTTAATGATAATGTGATTATTGATGATCCATCAAAGGTCCCGCTGCTCCAACCTTCAACCCCCCTGATGGATCAGAACCGGGATCATTCTGGGATTCCTCCTGCAGAACGCCTGGAGCCTGAGGATGATGAACATGATGAAGAGCGCAGCCTGTCTGTCTCTGAGGCGCTCAGGTCCACATCCCAGTAATCCTCCCCAGATCCCAGCAGCTGTCCCAGTGCTTCCAGCTCATTGCTGTCTGCTGAGCCTCCACCCTGGCCTCCATGCTGTCCTTTGGCTCCAGCAGATTCTCTGTAATCCCAGCAAAGCTCAGCATGGAACCAGAATAGAGGCCAACAGCTGCGGCTGGAGGCCCAGCAGCCGCTCTCTGACCCAGTCCTCTGGTTCTGCTTCATTCTGGGTCAAACAGGAACATGGGGTCCAGCTGCAGACGGTTCTGATTCTGATGGTTGTTGGGTTCAGGTCCTGTGTTACAGTAGCAGCTTCTGACCCAGCAGAACTCTGGTTATAAGAAAAATGCTTTGGTTCCAGTTCTGATGGTCCTGGACTTTCCAGTGCTGGTCTGAAATGCTCCCAGTTCCCTCTGAATGAAGCAGAACCATCCGGTCTGGGTCGACTGGGTGGCTGGCGGGTTCTGCACTAGAAAAATGATCCAGAAATGAGTAAAAATGAACTTAAATTAAATGTATTTACTCTTAGTTTGAGTAGGTAAATGTGATAGTTTGCCAAGTAATTAGTAGTTTTACTCTTAGAATAAGATAATTAGATAATATGCACTGGAAATAAGACAATGACCCACTGGTCAAACTTCCTGTAGACTTTAACTAGGACACCCGGTGGACCTGCTGGTGGCTTTGGGTCCAGGTTCTCCTGTAGAACACAGGTCTGCTGGAGCCTCCTGACAGAAAGAATGGTTCTAATGACCCCCGACCATCACACCGACGCTCCTTCTGATCGTTGACTCTTGACCTCTGACCTTACCTGGGCCCAGTGGGCTTTAGATGTTCTGGTTTCTTCTTGAACCTCCTGGATGAGAAGCTAATGAGCTCTGAGTTGAATGAATAGACAGTGTCTCAACATCACCTCCTGTCTTTGTCTCCATCATAGATTTTGTATCAACTACCTGGACTCCAAGTTGACCAACTGTCTTCCTGATCAACATGGATAGAAGTAATGAGGAAGTACAGATATTTGGAAGTAATGAGGAAGTACAGATATTTGGAAGTAATGAGGAAGTACAGATATTTG